ACATTTAGCTTGTTAACTAAATATTTAATTTGTAAGTTAAATATTTAGTTAATAAACTATGACATTTATAAATGTATGAATCATATGGTGAAAAACTGACTTTAAAAAATAAATCTGTTCTGTTTTTTCTTATAAATAAAACAAAAGTACTGGTGTTAATTTTTGACAGTAACAGTACAAACAGCAGCACAGATACTCAGCTGAGTTTGGGAKCAGCCCCCTCGTTCATGATTAATCTGCTGGAGGACACTTCAGAATAAAAGAGGAGCGGATTGGGTCCAGTTTTATAAATAATGGTCAGTGTGGTTTGTGATTGCATCAGGATGTTTCCTGTCAGAGGTCAGCTGCCATGCCAGGGTCAGAGCACAGCTGTAAACATCTGCAGCTCAAGCAGGAAGTAAATAACTGTAAATGTTGGAGACACTTTGTAAATGCAGTCTGTGACGGTCCCAGCTCGGTGAGATATTACCCTCATGTTCTCTGCCTGCAGAAAACTTCTTCACTAATGTTTTTTTCTTTTTAAACAGCCTTTGTAAACTTACCCAAGTTGTGCCCAAAGTTCATTCAGTTTCAGACATTTAATGTTCTGGTAGAAGAGATAATTTTATTTTTGCTGCTGTCTTCACACTGAAGCAAGAGAAAAGCTTGTGAGAATAGAAACGTCTTGGTAAGGATGAGTAAGWTCGATTCCCTAAATTTAATTTAGATTTAAATCCAGTCGTCTCCACGTCTCTCACATGACTTAAATCAGCTCTGGCCTTTCTGCAGCCTCTGTCCACTCATGTTCTTTCATCTCTACCAATGTGCCTTGGTTTAAAAGAAGGTAAATCTGGATTTGCTTCCACATAAAACATGCTTGTCTGTAACTTTATGTGTRAGAATTTCAAATCCCAGGGTTGATAGGAGCCTGGTATATGCACCGTTCTGTTCAATCTTTGTAAACTTTGATCGAGGGAAAGGTGACGCTGCACAAACACTGCTGGCAATAAAAATACAAAATGCTATTACTGGTTCAATAATCAGTTTCCCTGGACTATCAGCTGGCTCTTTATTTTTTCAGGATCTAACATGGTTAAATTGTTTGAAAAAATAAAAAGATTTAAATCTGTAGTTTTGTCAGCTGAATTGTGGGTATTTTAAAGTTCTGTTGTCTCTAATAAATACTACAGAGTATTGTAATTTCAACCACAGCATTCTTCTGTTGTGATTACCTGTTTGTCCTGAAGGTGGCGACATTCAGCTGTGCCTCCTACTGGCTGCATCAGGTGCATCTGTATGTTAGCAAAGTGTCTCATGAATCAGTCCATTTTAGTGAATGTGGATTTCACATCTGCATTTGAATGTTTTTATCTGGTCCAAATCAAACCGGTCAGAACAGCAAAGCCACAGACATATATTTATTTATTTATTTAGAGCTACAGCAGKTAAATTGACAGATTTTGTGCTAAAGTTTGATGTGTTAGCTGAGTTACAGCTCAGCTCTAAGCTTCAACACCTCTCATGATACACATACATGAAGTTGGCAAGGTGCAACTGCCATCATTTCAACATAAAATAATAAGTATGAAAGGTGGATGGTTTTCTACATTACTTTAAATGTTATAAATAAATATAGAATCTGTGTGTGGAGTATCTGAAATACTCAGTAACAATAACAACACATCCCTCAAAGCATCAGCACCTTTCATGCCTGAGTTTTAGACTAAAGTCTTGTTTTGATGAATGAATGAGGTCCTCATGCAATAATGTGTTGGTTTATAAGAATATGGGAATGACTCTCAGCTACTACCATACATCACAGTGTTGACTTCAACACATTATCTGCAACAACTGAACCCAGTTCAGGCAGTGTGTTGCAGAATGGGCAGCAGCTGGAGATTATGAACAGTTCTCAGTTACTACTAACATGTCAGATTTTAACTGTATGAAATTAACTGGATTGTAGCTGTTTGTGTTGACTCGACACGTTCAGCTGTTTGTGTTGGTTCGACATGTTCAGCTGTTTGTGTTGGTTCGACATGTTCAGCTGTTTGTGTTGGTTCGACATGTTCAGCTGTTTGTGTTGGTTCGACATGTTCAGCTGTTTGTGTTGGTTCGACATGTTCAGCTGTGTTGGTTCGACATGTTCAGCTGTTTGTGTTGGTTCGACATG